TCTGGGAGCATGAAAAAACGACGCAGGACGAAGAACTAGGCAACGCGATTTGGGCGTGGTAAAAAAGCTGGTTTGGGCCCCCCCTCGCGCTTTCAGCAACAGTTCACAGTAAGGGAGCAGAAAGCAAAACTGCAGCAGTGGAAACTGGAAACTGCAACTGGAACGGGGAGCTGCAGTCCTCACCCTCGCAGCCTGGTCCAGACCTCTGGGGGTCGACGTTGTGAAACAACCACGACGTCGGGGGTTTGGGAAGTGCAGTCGAGACGTGCATGAAGGACGGGCGGTGAGGACGCAGAGCCACTGGAGCCCAAAGTCGGGACCTTCGTGGGGCGGCGGGCGCCCCGTGAGGAGGGAAAGGACGGGCCGCACGGGCAAGGGCACGGGGGCCCCGAGGATGGAGGCGCGCGTCCTCGCCCGGCGCGCTGACTGCAGCATCCACGGCACGCCGCCGAGGGGAGCCGACTAGACTTCGTGGCCGTGGTCGTGGTCTTGGCCGTTGCAGTCGTGGTCGTGGTCGTGGTCGTGGTCGTCGTGCTCGTGGTCGTGGTCGCCGTCGTGGACGTCGAGATCGTCCTGGTCGTCGGCGTCGTCGTCGTCGTCGTCGCCACCGTCGTCGTCGTCGTCGTCGTCGTCGTCGTCCTTCAAGATTACTCCTCCGTCTTTGCCTGAAGGCCCAATGAATATTCTAGACTAAGAAAAACAGCATGAACACCAAACTCTCCGAGGTCTGCGCAGATTTCTTGGATCGGATCCTGGAGCCTCCTCCCTTGCGCGCGGAGCGCTCCAGGGGCGGCGCCAGAGACGCCGCCAGAGGGGCCAAGAGCCTGTATGCTCTTCAGCCTTCCGCAACAACACTTGGCGGCGCTCACAAGGGGAGGGGGGAAGGCTTCTCAGACGGAGCTTGACTCTCAGACGACGCCGCCCCTGCATCTACAGACAAGGCCCGCGCCTGCTAAGAAGCAGGGTTGCTCCTTAGAGGCCGTCCCCCCTCCCCGCACCCAGACCCCCGACTCCGCGGCATTGCTCACAACGTCGACCCCTTAGAGGCCTAGACCCCTTCCCCGGGGCCAGGTCTGTGCATCCTGAGTCGCTGGTTGACGGCCCCGAGGCCCGGCAAGGGCCCCCCGAACTGGAAATGGCGACAAGCCTCCCGTCGTGATTTGTTCAAATCAGGAGGGGGCCTGGCTACCCTTAGGTCGGGCATTTCCCCATAAAGGCGAATTTGGAGCGAAAAATCAAACATACTCCGAAATACATCCAAAAAAGTTCAAACCTGTCTGTTTCTCGTTTACAAAAAAACGTCCCCTGACTATTGTTTGACTATTTTCGAATGTTCCTCCTGAAGAGGGCCAGGCCCGACTCAAAGGCTGCCCTGATCTCCGCGCGGCCGGGCCACTCTGACGATGGCCTCCCCCCGCGGCGGCGTATCGTTGATACAGCGGCGATGCGTCGGCGACGCGTGATCGACATCCGCGATGCATCGGCGCCATCGGCGTGGGGACCTCGGGTTCCACGTCGAGCCGCATCGCCGATGCATCGACGATGCGGCGCAGCCCTCCGAGGCCATTTACTCCGACCCCATCTGGGAGGCCTAGAGAAGACGACGACGCCATAGGAATAATGATAATAATAGCAATAGCAATGGTAAGAGTGAAAACAAAACGAATGACAATAACGACAACAACGACAACAACAACAGCAACAGCAACAACAACAACAACAACAACGACAACGACAACGACAACAACATCAACACCAACAATAGCAACAACAACCATAACAGCAGCGACAGCAGCAACAACAGCAATTACAGCAACAGCAACAACAACAAAAGGACCACCACCAACAATAACAAAACTAAGAATAAACTGAATAAACATAATACAAATGATGCAAACAATCATATCAATCATCAGAAACATAATCCGCCGCGAAGTTGAGTTCCCCCGAAGCTCTCATGTGCCCTCTGTTCTCTATGCTCAGGACGATGGGATTCTAGTATTGGAAGGACCGGGACCCCAATTTCTCAAATGTCTTGGGCGCTCCCGCGCGCTCCTGGGCTGCCTCGCGTGACTTTTCCACAGGCCAGAGAGCCCCAATATGGGCCCCGAGTGCCCCAGAAAGCGCCTCAGAGGGTCCAAGGAGTCGCCAAGACAGTCCAAGAGCGCTCCAAGACGCCCAAGATGGCCTCAAGACGGCACAGGAGGCCCCAAAGAAACCCCAAGAGCGACCCCCAAGAGGCCCACGAGGACCCAAAGAGCACAAACCAGTGACTTTCCTTGTGCGTGTCTCGATGTGTTGCGCGTTCTCGCGTTTTCGGGATTCCGACACTCCAAGATGGCCCCCAAAGCCCCAAAGACCGCCCCAAGACGGTCCAAGAGGCGCCCAAGATCGCCCAACTGACAATTGGTTTTTCCCTGGGAGACAACACACGTTATCCTGGGGGGGGGCGGCGTGGGGTGAGGTAGCGGTAACGGAGGCCGCGGCGCGCACCCCCCCGAGGCGCGCCGCCTGAGTCGTTGCCGTCGTCGTCGTCCAAGCCCAGCGCTTGTGCACACAACGTGGGCTCTGTACTCTGTACACCACGATGCCCTTGTGCACCAAGACTGCTGCAGGAATAGCATGTGTGCGCACCACGGCGACTGTATACACCATACCAAGAGAGCCCAGAATCGAGTCGATGCGTCGAATCGGCGATCTAAATGAATCGGATCGGCGGAAATCGACAAACAAGTCTGGAGGAATACAATCGGTGCAAATCGGCAGAACAAGAAAAGCCTCACTGAGAAATCGGAATCCAAATCGGAACTAGAAATCGAATCGAAGCGGAATCGGAATCCATCGAAGTCGAATCGAATCGAATCGGGGGAATCGAACTGCGCTCTGTACATACCAACCGCCGTGTGCACCACGGCGCCTCTGTACATACCTTTGACGGTGCACACCACGGCGCCTGCGTGCACCGCAGCTGCTGCTTCGGCACCCCCTTGTGCACCACGGTGCCCGCGTGCGCACGCTGCCCCTGCGGGCACCACGCTTTCGTGCACCGCGCGGGCGCGGGGGCACCCGTCACAGAGCAGCGGTGCACTTCCTGCCGAGGAGGTCGCAGGGGCCCTGTCCGAAGACCCTGGTTTCCGGTTTGACATGGGGAATCGATGGGCGAACTGCGATCTCGAGGCGCCTGTGTGGACACCGCAGTAGCTGCGCACACCACAGCAGCCGTCTGCACCGCGGCGCCTGCGATTCTTGGCACCGCAGCTGCTGTTCTGGCACCCCTCCGCGCCTGCGTTTGCCACAAGGCTTGTCTAAGTACCCCTCTACGGCCCAGACGGAGCCAAAGTCCGGGAAATCGTTGGGGGCCCGAATGTATCATATTCAATATGTGATCTGATTGTGACTATTGGGTTTTCCTGGCCCGAGGAACGTTTGACTTTGTGAGCCCACCGCGATGTGCGACACAACGCCTGTTTGCACCACAATGCCCGCGTCCTATATGCGCAAGGAAGACGACGATGATGAAGACGAGAAGAAAGAGGGAGGAAGAGGAATATGTAGGAAGAGATGCGTGCGTTCGTTATAGCCCACAGCGCGCACGTTGGGTACTACAGCGACGTTGGGCACTACAGCGATTGTGTACATCACGGCGCCTGTGTACACCACAATGCTTGTGATGATTATACAACAATGCTTGCGTATACCCACTATGCCTGTGTACACCACAGCTGCTGCTGCCACGACAAATGCGTGCGCCACAAGCCCGTGTACACCGCAGTGCCTGCGTACACCATACTGCACGCCCGCGTGCACCGCGGCACTAGCAGTGCCCGCGTGCACCACAGCCTAGGCTGCCAGGGATCGCGCACCGGACCCGGCCTGGGTGTTAACGTCACGGGGGGGGCAGGGGGGGATAACACGTGTTATCCTTTGGGTGGATACAAACATCGTCTCACTGCCGGTGTGTTTGGAGGATTTGGGCGTTCTGGCCGTTTGACGGCCCACGCAGCCTCCGAAATGTCCCCAAGACGGTCCGAGAGGCCCCCAAGAGCCCCAACACGACACAAGAGAGGCCCCCAAGACAGCCCAAGATCGGCTCCGAGAGGCCCGCGAGATGGCCCCCCGGAAGGGGCCAGCCGGCGCAAGAGCGACCCAAGACAGCTACAGACGCTCCCACGAGGCCCCAAGAGCCCCCAAAAGGCCCAAAAGAGGGCCCCAAAAAGGCCCTCAATAAGATCCCAGGAGGCCCCAGAGACAGGGTTCGCACAGCGCCCCCGCCGCCAATTCCAGCATACCCCTCACCCGGATCGTGCCCCACAGGGAGCACCACGCACAGCCCCAGAGACCAGGTTCGCACACCGTCCCCCAGCCCATCTCGGCACACCCATCAAGCGAATCGTAACCCAGAAAGGAGCTCCACCTATGCCACAAATGGGCAACTTCGCACGGGATCCTCCAGTCCATTTCGAAATGGGCGGGGGGATCGTTAACGAAAACTATGTCTGAGCATAGTTTAATCGATCCCTGATCCCACTGGCATCGTTGAGCGATGCTCAGAAATACTCCTGAGCATCGCTGAACCGACCCCTAATCCCAGTGGCGAGGCCCTGGCCCCACTGGCCGAGTTGCACCCCTGGATCGTTATACATCCCTGTTCCTTCGGGCTTCGAGGGGGCCTGTCCCCAATAGGGGTGAGAGGGTGGGTCTGAGATACCATGGCACGGTGGGGAGGGTGGTAGGCTGGACGATACTGAATCTCGACACATGCCTCACACGGGAGATGCCCCAAATGGAGCTTCACCCGCGGCCTCAGTGGGCGTGCTCGCGCGGGGGGCACCCGGATTATTCGGCAGCCGCGCCCTGCGCTGCACGTGCATGCACAAGGCAGGGTCCGTCGCCAGTGCTTCTGAAATATCCGTTGGGGCCTCTTGGCATGCTTCTCGGGCGCCTCCTGGAGCCAGTTTTGACGCCCCTTGCAGTCACCTTTCTTTTTTTAAGAGCAAACTGCCAGCAAGTCCGACGAATGTGCGAATCGCAGCCGCCTCTGCAGCCTGGTCTTTCGAACAGACTCTGGGCACCTGCGCAGCAGCTGTCTCTCGCGAAAGTTGCAGCTGCGAAAGCGCCAAAGATATCATCGCCTCCTGCTTAAGATAGCGAGGCTTAATATAATGGAGGGAGAATGGAAGAAAACAAACAAACAAAACAAGAAAAGGGCGTGGCGCGCGTGTCGGCGTGAGTTCGGGGTGTGTCCTGCTGTGCTCCTGTGTGTTCTGCCGTGCTCCTGTTCTGCCGTGCTTCTGTGTTCTGCCGTGCCTCTGTGTGCTCTGTCTGTTCTGCCGTGTTCCTGTATTCTGCCGTGCGGATCGTCGCGGTGGTCGTTTTGGCGGAGCTTCTGGGCGCGCATGGCAGAAACAGATTAGGAGCACGGCAGAATAGGCCCCAAGAGCTGAGGAGCACTGCGAAAAAAATAAAAAAGGAACACGGCAGAATAGACCCCAAGAGCAAAGGAGTACGGCAGAACACACCCCAAAAGCGAAGGAGCACGACAACAAAAGACCAGGAACACAGCAGGATAACCAAATACAGCCGATAATAAACACCCTGGGAGAATAAAGTTCGGCGGTTACGGTGCGATAATAAAAGTATCCACCAGAGGCCAGCATAAAGATGTTCACAGAGGAGCCAAAGCCGAGGATAGCTTGAGACATCCTTGGCTTGTTGTCCTCTCTGAGACATCCTCAACAATGGCTTGTCTCGCTCGAGACATAGAGAGGGAAAGAGGGAGATATAAACAACGAGGGAACGAGGGATGAAGATAAATAGGAGAAGGATGAAAGAAAAACCCGAAGTTCAAAACTTATTAGAGTTACTTTATAAGCGCTTCAACTTAAGATTTTCATCTGCTCGTACCTCATCTGTCTAGTGTTCCCAAGATAACCAACCACAGCGATGAACAAGTTCAGGGAGCTAGGGGGGGAAGACAAATATAAAGAGAGAGATAGACAGAGAAGAGGAGGAAGAGAAGGATGATGAGGAGGAGGAAGAACAGGAGAAGCTGAGGAGGAGAAGCAATATAGAGAGATACATAGAACTATGGAAAGAGAAGAGGAGATAGAGGAGGAAAAGGGGGAGGAGGAGCAAGAGGAGAATCAGCAAGAGGATGAGAGGAGAAGGAGATAGCAAACATCCAAAGTGCAAAACTTATTAGATTTAATGTGTAAACGCTTACTGGAGAGAACAATACCGAAATATAGAGAAAGAGACAAAGAGGAAGTAAACAAACATATTAAACGAGAGAGAACAGATAAGGAAAAAAGAGGAGGAGGAGGAGGAGGAGGAGGAGGAGGAGGAGAAGGAGGAGGAGGAGGAGAGGAGAAGGAGAAGAGAACGACAGAATTGTTGGTTTCGCTTGAGACATTCTGAAAAAGCGTGTTCGTTTCGCTTCATGTTGCTATCTCAACATAAAAAGGAAATGACCTCGATGGCGAACTTTCCAGGTGATGATGAAGTTCGGCCTCCGCGCCCCCGCGCCCCCGACCAAACTCTTATTGGCCGTGGATCATCAACTCTTATGTGTGTAGAGGGGGGGGACATAATTATCGTGGGTATCGGGTTAGACCCCAAGAGCTAAGGAGCAGACGAAACGTAGCAGAAAAAAGGCAGACTAGGCCCCAAGAGCGAAGGAGCACGGCAAACAAAAACCAGGAGCACGGCAGAATAGGCCCCAGGAGCTAAGGAGCAGGGCGGAATAAACCTCAAGTGCGAAAGAGCACGGCAGAGAAAGACCAGGTGCACAGCAGGATGGACCCCAAAAGCTAAGGAACACGGCGCAAAATGAACAGGAGCACGGCCGAATAGGCCCCAGGAGCGACGGAACACGGCAGGAAAAAAAAACAGGAGCACGCCACAGTACACCCCAAAAGCTAAAGAGCACGGCGGAATAGGCCCGAAGAGCGAAGGAGCAAACCAGAAAAATACGAGGAGCACGGCAACATAGAATCCAAGAGACAAGGAACACGGCAGAAAATGTCCCAAAGACGAAGAAGCAAATCGGAAAACAAAAAAAAACAGGAGCACGGCAGAATAGACCCCAGAAACTAAGGAGCACGGCGAAAAATGTAACGGCTGAGTCGGCCCCATGAGCTAAGGACCACGGCGGAAAATTAGCCGGACGAAGGACCCAACCATATGTAGGTGTGAATACCGCGATTGTGATATACTTTTTCGGTGGTGATCTCCACGAGGCAACGAACCGCGCTAGGGGTGTGCCGAAATGAGTGGCGTGGTACAAAACGCGAACGAAAACGATTGATCTGAGTACCCAGGGGGACTGAGCGCGGGCGAATCTGAGCGCGAGTGCGTTTGACTGCGAATTCATATGCGTGCGAGCGAGTCTGCGTGCATGAATGCGACTATGACAAAGCATGGTGTTCTTGTGTATAAATGTCAATTAGTTTGAGAACGACTGCATCTGAGTACTCGCGACGCTGGGGGCGGCCGCCGCAA